GGGGCTGGGGGGGGTGTTAGGCTCTTCCCAGGAGGTCTGTCCTCAGGGTGAGGGTCTCCAGGAAGGAAGGGATTATTCATGGGGTTTTGTGCCTCCAATGCAAAAACCTCTCTGCTGCTGCTCCCCCAGTATGAGAACCAGACGAAGCTGGCGCTGGTGGGGAACTGGGGCACAACTGGCCTGACGTACCCCAAATACTCGGATGTCACCGGCAAGATCAAGCTGCCCAAGGACAGCTTCCGCCCCTCCACAGGCTGGACCTGGGCCGGGGACTGGTTCATCTGCCCGGAGAAGACGTGAGTGATGGTTTTCTGTGAAGAGCAGAGCCCATGTGGGCTGTCCCGGCCACCCCAAAAACCCGAAGAGATGCTAAGCTGGTGGCAAGGTCACCCATAAAGCTGGATGGAGGTCTGGGGTGCCCTGGGGGTTCCTCGTCTGCCTGCTCCGTCCTTGTAAGGCAACAGCGTTAATGCAAAATGCCTCGTCTCTGTGCTGGGTTGATGTGTCTGGGGTGGTGGGTTCTGCACAGGCGCTCACGGACGCGGTGCTCCCCACGCTGAGGAGCTTTGGAGGTGGCATCCCAGTGGGGCACTGCGGGGTTGGGAGGAGACGGTGGGTGCTCAGCACAGCTCCGCTCTCTTCTTGCACGGGATTTACCGCCCGTGTTTTGGGCTTCACCTGGGGGTTGCTGAGGTCTTGTGGGAGCTTTGCTTGGTGCCTCTGGGATGAAAGAGGTTCAGGAGGCCAAGTGCGTTCCGAGGTGGCATGGCTGGCCCTGCGAGGAGGGAGGGCATGAGGCCGTGCTGCTGCAGGGCTGGGGCGGCAGGAGGGGGAGCCCCTGACGCTGTGCATCTCCCCGGGGTGCAGGTTGCTGCACGACGTGGACGCCGGGCACCTGAGCTTTGTGGAGGAGGTGTTTGAGAACCAGGTCCGGCTGCCGGGAGGCCAGTGGATCCACATGACCGATGCCTACACCGATGTGGTAAGGACAAAGCGGGCAGCCGGGGGCTGAGCCACCACCCCAGGCTGCAGCAGCAGGAAGCCCCCGGGGGCTCAGGGGAGATTTAGGCACCCACTGGGCGTTGTTTGATTTGAAACACCCCTGCGTCCCACAGAATGGCGAGAAGGTCCTGCGTAAGGATGAGATTGAGTGTCCTCCGGGCTGGAAGTGGGAAGACGTGGAGTGGGACACGGACCTCAACAGAGCTGTGGATGAGAAAGGTATCAGAAAGCAGTTTTGGGCGTCCGTCCTGTTTTCACCCCCTTTGCTCTGCCCACTGTGGCATTACCTTCCACGGTCCCATCCAGCACCAGGGATGATAACAGCCCCTTTGTGGCTGTGTGAGCTGCCCTTGCTGCCTTCAGAAGGGGGTCAGGCCCTGGGGGTACCATCTCCCCCTTGCTTTGCCTGGGGCTGGGGCTGTGGGGTGGGCAACCCCAAAGGCATTGCTTTCCTTGCTGCTGGGGATAGTCCAGGCTGCTCCTCTGGAAGATCTTACCTGGCTTCTGGTGACAGAGAAATGGAAAGCATCAGGCCAGAGACCGTCTGAGACGGTCACAAGGGTTGGGGTTGCCTGAGGAAGGAAGGACAGTGAGGAGAGTCCCCAGGCTGTGGCTTTGAGCCAAGAGCTGGTGGGACACCATGAATGCATTACCTGGGCATCCCCAGAGGGACACCTCCCCTGGGCAGCAGCATGAGCAGGTCATTATCTGTGTGGACCAGCAAAACCGGGAAAGCATGTTCCAGTCTGGATACAAGTGAAGAAAGGTCCCTGGTGGGAGGCAAGGTGGGGGGCTCTTCTCCCACCTTCATCCAGGTGTTGCCCTCTCTCCCAGGCTGGGAGTACGGCATCACCATCCCGCCGGACCGCAAGCCCAAGGCCTGGGTGCCGGCCGAGAAGATGTACCACACCAACCGGCGACGGCGCTGGGTGCGGCTTCGACGGAGGGACCTCACGCAGATGGAGGCCATGAGGAAGGTAGGATGGGGGCTGGGGGTGGTCGGGGCCGTGTCCCTGTCTCTCCGTGCAAAGGTGGAGGTGCTCGGCCTTCTGCAGGGACCCGCTGTGCTTTGGAGCCTGGTTGCCCTGGTCTCAGTGCTGGAGCAGGCAACAGCCTCTGTGGTTTCCACCATGGGGGTCAACATCTCCCAGAGGTGGAGACCACGCCAGAGGTGCTTGGTTGGGCTGCGGGGTGGGACAGGGACCTGCACCAGTGCCACGAAGCAGCTGGGGGGACCGGGGCTGGCAGAGGTCCCCAGTCTGTCCCCTCTCCGCGTCCCGCTCCCCTCTAGGTGGAGCAGTTGGGCTGCAAATGCCACCGCAGCGCGGCCGCGCTTCCATCCCCCCAGCCCGGTGCCCAGGGCACTTGCCGCCCTTCCCGTGCTTCTTCTGGGTAACTGTGGGAGCCCCCACCACCCCGTTTGCCGAAGGGCCACAAGTGTCACCGGGAGGTGACACAGCTCTGGGGAGAAAAGGCCTTCAGGGGCTTGTGACCGATGCCCCACGGAGAAGTTCCCAGTGGTAGCAGAACCTTGGTGGCCCTGGAGGGATCAGAGGTGGTGGCAAAGTTGGAGGGCAGGCCGGGAGGCACTGGTGCTACACAGGCCCAGGCAGGATGCAGCTCCCCCCAAAAAAAACCAGCCCAGCGACCCTTCTCCGGGTGGGATTCACCCCAGGGACTCGATGAAGGGCTGACTCCCCAGTGGTGGACCTGGCAGTGTTGGGTTAATGGTTGGACTCAATGATCTTAAGGGTCTTGTCCAGCTGAAATGATTCTGCCATTCTAGTTGATGATTCTAAGTGGGGGAGAAGGGAGGACACAGGGTGGGACAACTGTAGCAGGCAACAGCTTGAAGTGGCTGGACCCGGCTTTGGGTGGGCGCAACCTTGGCCCGGGAGAGCCCCACGCACGAGCGGCTTTGCCCCT